AACGGGTGAAGGTCAAATAAAAGTGTCAGAAGTCTGGGTGGGGAGTGGAAAGGATATTTTCAAAGAATGTCAATGGGACAGTGGAGCATTTTCTATGTAGGGAAACAAATTAAGTTGACTAGTTAAAAGAGTGTTTATTTATGTACTGGTCGCATTGAGTTTTCAAAAGGTTGCTGTGTGAAAAATGAGGAGAAAGAAACACGATTTAGAACTTTAAATAAGTAAATGAATAGATATTCAAAATCGATGTTGGGGTGGGTGGTGGGGTCGTTGGAACAGTTAAAGGGAAAGTGGGGTTTTCATGTCTGAGGGTAAGTGGATAGAGGGGGAGAGGGGGGAGTGGGTAGATGTGTCTGACGAGGCGTGGAGAGGGTGTCTGCGTGTTTTTAAGGCAAGCCAAGCGTCAAATTATGTGCTGTGTTATCTGACTGCTGAGGTGTTACCATTTATAGTGTGTGTGGGTGGGGGGGGGGGGGGGGGGTTGACGAACAGATCGCTGTGTGAGCGATTTAGTGGGAGGGTGAAAGGTTGGTATGTTCAAGTCGGTGTTTATGTTTAGTTGAATGTTTAGTACCGACAGGTTAGGGGTGGGTAGGCGTGTAGCTATCACGGGGTTTGGGGATACAGTTCAGTTTTATAGGTCAAAAAATTGGTGTTCACATAAAAGAGTTAGTAAAGTTAACAAAACAACTGTAAGTGTTAATGTGGTGATAATAAAATGAATACAAAAGGAGTACGGGTCATTGGTGTCATTTTGTACGTTGTGGACCAAAGTACCTTACATATATGATAATAGTAATATAGTAACAAATAATGGCTTTACAATGTGTGTAAGCTTTATAAATAAAACAAGGTGTGATGAAAGATGAAACGGATTATGTGTATGTGGCGAACGAACGGTAGGAAGACAAAAATGAAAACTCGACTTCATCGACACATTGTAATAATCTTAAAGTGTTTATTATCTGAATTAAAATGATTTAAAAAAAATATTTTATAAGGGTATGTAAAACAAATTTCATTTTCCAAACGTAACGTTTTAATTTAAGTCATATGGAATAAACATATTCAAAGAATATGTATCATCCTTCACAAAAATTTAAAAGTGTACAAATTACTTCACTTTGTTCCTTTACTACCAATTACTTCCTTTGCCAATGACTTCTCTTGATAGATCACACAAAAAATTACTATCCTTTCAAAAAACATCGTAGGGGGGGGGGGGATACTTCTTATTAGTTTGATATAGCGTTGGAAAAAAATAATTATAGAATTAGCATTGATTGTAGGTAAAACACGGATACTTTAAATACTGCCTTTTATTTATTTTATACACTGAGCGTACTGTTTACTAATTAATAATGTTAATCTATACTAGTTTCGAAGCCCCTTCTAAATCTCCTCTATGTTTACTTCTATCTTTCGGTTTCCGGACAAGCAAATGGTATTATAGTCGTCAGGGTTCGATTTGGCGCCCCGGGCCTTCTCGTGAGCGCTATGGCGTATACGTTCGTTTAAAAAGTGCGTTAGACTATGAAGTAGAAGGGCTACTATTGTCTTTAACTAAGTCGTATCCAGTGCGTCCCCCGGCACTCCCACAGGGTAAAATTTGGCATCCCGGGTCTTTTCGTGGGCGCTATGGCAACTACGTTTGTTTTAAACAGTGCGATAGACTATGAAAAAGATAGGGTATTATAGTCATTTACTAAGTTGAATCAAGTAGTTTCGCCTGCGCCCCGGCAGGGTGCGATTTGGCGCCCTTGGCTACACTGTGATCAGTATGCTTTTATGTTTGTATTTAAGTTTAAGTTCTGCGTTATTGTTTTCGCTTAGGTTTGCGTTTGTGTTTGCGTTAAATTTTATGTTTTTGTTTAAAATAATGTTTGCGTTTTTAATTGTGTTAGTGTTAGAATTTTATTTGCTTTTATGTTTGTGTTAGTATTTTGTGTTTATGTTTATGTTTGCATTTATGTTTGTGTTTTAGTTTCCGTTCGCTTATGTGTTTGCATTAGTTTTTGTGTTTGGGTTTGCGTGTGTTGTTGGGTTTAGGTTATCTATTCGTTTGTGTTTACGTTTGTGTTTGTTTTTGTGTTTATGTTTGTGTTTGCGTTTGAGTTTGGGTTTGTGTTTTCGTTTGTGTTTGCGTTTATGTTTTGGTTTTGGTTGGTTGTGGTTAGATTAATTCAAAAATGTATATATAGATTTTCCGGGTTTATGCTGCTTAATCAACACACAAGTCATGGTCCTTTAGAGATAGTGCAGCGCCTGACCGGGACGGCTAGTGTCCATTCGGGCATTTGTCGCATTCGGGCAACTGTCCATTCGGGCAAGTGTCCATTCGGGAAATCGGCCTTCGGGCAAACGGCATTCGGGCAAGTGTCTTTCGGGAATTTGTCGTAGACCCGACTATAGGGGATGGCAACTTGGGATATCTATAATAATAGGTTTGCTGTCTGTCTGTCTCTCTGTCTATCTGTTGAGAACGCTTTCGCTGTCTGTTGGTAACGCTTTTACTATATAGAAAACACAAGCAAAGTAAAAACATCCACAGTCATTCGAATAACGAAACGTGACGTGATGTCACATGGAACATGTGGTAGGAAATAGTCTAAAGCTGGAAAAGAGCACACAATAATATAAAATCATTGATTCGCGAGTAAAATATAAATAAACCGGGAGTGATCTCCCCTAAACTTTCTCGAATATTCTTATATAAAATAACAGGGGATGGGAACTCGGGCTATAGACATGATTTTTAATCCATTTTAAATACTTAAACTTTTAAAAATAGAATAAAATCTCGTAGACAAATTAATTGCACACCAAGTGAACGCCAAATAAAAAAGCGCATAATAGTGCGCAATATTATTAGTATTTTAAAAATTTACATTAGTTTTTTGAGAAATCGGAAGTAGCGTAAATTACTACTTCCGATCAACGGAAATTACTCAAAATTTAACAGAAGGTAGAGAATTAGATCTTTTACTTACGTGTGAAATTTCATTTAACTACCTGAAATAGTACTCAAGTTATAGGCTTTTGAAAAATTCAAAGTAGTAAAAGTACCACTTCCGGTTGTCGGAAATCGCTCAAAAGTTGATACGGATCTACGATTTTGATATAATATATATGAAATTTCATCAACCTAGCTGTAACGGTACTCAAGTTATCGTGTTTACACACGGACACACAGACACACAGACACACACACACACAGACATACGGACAAGATTGCAAAATTATGTTTTTCCGTATCAGTGAGGTGTAAAACGTCGAGATTTGTAAAAATCTCGAATTTTTTTTTTGCACGATTACAATACTTTCTCTATACTACGTATATACGAGAAAGTAATTAAAAAGCTAATGCCGAAAAAATACACAATAGTAATGACGTCATCTATATTCTATAATTTAAAAAACCACTGGCATTACCGCCTAATTCACTTGTCTATTCTTAAAACTGTTTTGCGTGTAGAGTTTCTTTCATGCCTCTCTTCGGGTAGGAGCGAAGCCCCCCCCCCCCCGCGGTGGAACGTTTAATTCACTCCCCCCCCCCCCCCATCAAAACCAAATATAATGTAAACAGAAAATATATACTTAAAATATATACTTTAACCAGTGTCGGCCTCTCCCACCCCGGAGAATTGTATTCGCCCCTGCAAAAGATTCAAGTGCCCCACATCCGGAAAAAGGTCTGAAAGAAACACTGTCTGTGTGACTGAGGTTTATTGGCCAAAAGTTGGAAACGGGTCTATATTATATTATAGAAGTAGACTCTACCTTTATGATCTACAAATGCGACCAATGTTTCTTCCCCGGAGGGGGGTGGGGTACTTGAAATTTTCGGGGGTGGGGGTGGACTAAATTTTCTGAAGAGAAGGCGGACACTGATCAAAGTATATAATTCAATTTCGTTGAATGGGACGGTAGACGTACTTTGGAATGTGTGGGGTTGGGGAGGAGCCAGCCCCCCTCCCTCCTCCCCCAAGTAGAGTCGCCTGAATAATACTCTAAATGCGACTTATGTCATTATTGAAATTAGGTGCAAGTTTAGATACTATATTTAGTATCAATGTGCAGTAACGTGTACATCAAGATTAAATCCGATTAAAATGCTGATATTGGATAAAAATCCGTTTTCAGTGTTATTTTGTTATTTTTCGTTTCCGGTTCAATTTGAAGTTAAGGTGGTGGTTGTGGTATTGGTTTAGAGAAAAGAGACAACACTATCAGCCTAGAGCCCGTTGTATCTCTCCCTCAACGGGCCATTTATCTCGTAGACAATATTTTTAATCCATTTTTACTTTCCCCGTATACGAAGTATAGAGGTAGTATTGTAATCGTGCAAAAAAAATCGAGATTTTTACAAAAACGAGATTTTTACAAAAACGAGATTTTTACGAAAACGAGATTTTTACAAATCTCGACGTTTTACACCTCTTTGAGTCGGAAAATCATAGTTTTGCAATTTAACTTGAGTACCGTTACAGCTAGGTTGATGAAATGTCATATACAAGTATTATATCAAATTTGTAGTTCTGTATCAACTTTTCAGCGATTTTCGGTAACCGGAAATAGTAATTTACGTTTGTTCCGATTTCTATAACAAATCGCATTTGAATATATAAAGCACTAATAATATTCCGCACTATAATACACATATTGTTTGGCGTTTACTTGGTGCGTAATTCTTTTTTTCTACGAGATTCTATTCTATTTTAAAAATGAAAGTTTAAGTAATTAAAAATGGATTACAAATCATGTCTGTCTTACTCTATATCCCGAGTTCCCATCCACCATAGTGTTATATTAGAATATTCGAGAAAGTTTAGGGGAGATCACTCATGGTTCATTGTTAACTTAAGCTTTTAACATAGAATAGAATCTCCTAGAAAACTGTAGATGGTGTCACCGGTGTGTGTGTGTGTCCCCTTCTATCTACCCCTATACTTTCATTCAGGTGTGTTAACCCTAACCCGTCCAAAACTTGATCTCGGCAGGTAGACTGTAGCATACCTGGCGACTCGTGCATCTGTAACCTTGAGTCCACGAGACCGCCCAACGGACCGTTCGACGTCTGGTCGTCAGGTTCAACATGTAAGTCAACACCCACATCTTTACACCAATCAGTTTATCAACCCCCACATCTTTACACCAATCAGTTTATCAACACCCACATCTTTACACCAATCAGCATATCAACCCCCACATCTTTACACCAATCAGCATATCAACACCAACATCTTTACACCAATCAGTTTATCAACACCCACATCTTTACACCAATCAGTTTATCAACAACCACATCTTTACACCAATCAGCATATCAACCCCCACATCTTTACACCAATCAGCATATCAACACCAACATCTTTACACCAATCAGTTTATCAACCCCCACATCTTTACACCAATCAGTTTATCAACACCCACATCTTTACACCAATCAGCATATCAACACCAACATCTTTACACCAATCAGTTTATCAACCCCCACATCTTTACACCAATCAGCATATCAACCCCCACATCTTTACACCAATCAGTTTATCAACCCCCACATCTTTACACCAATCAGTTTATCAACCCCCACATCTTTACACCAATCAGCATATCAACACCCACATCTTTACACCAATCAGTTTATCAACAACCACATCTTTACACCAATCAGCATATCAACCCCCACATCTTTACACCAATCAGCATATCAACACCAACATCTTTACACCAATCAGTTTATCAACCCCCACATCTTTACACCAATCAGTTTATCAACACCCACATCTTTACACCAATCAGCATATCAACACCCACATCTTTACACCAATCAGTTTATCAACCCCCACAACATTACACTGTACACATTTAAACAACCGCATTTGTACAACATCAATATGTTTTCTACCAACATCGTTTTACTATACACATATTACCACCCACATTTATCAACATATCAACACCCAGAGTTATCCACCATTAATATGTCAACATCCGCACTGTTTTCTTAACGATTCAGCTTACTATGTGCATTATGTGGGGTCAAACAACGGTCAACCCTTGTCATATGCGACAACTCCTTCCTACATGCTGGTCATTAAGTGCACCAATAAAGACAGGACCAACTCCAGCTTTCAGGAATTAGAGATCGACATCCGGCCCAATTCTGTGCCAGAGATAATCAATCAAAATTATCCTCATGGTAACTATGTCACTAAGATATATATATATATATATATATATATATATATATATATGTGTGTGTGTGTGTGTGTGTGTGTGTGTGTGTGTGTATTGACTGTAACATAATGCAGTTAAGATTTTAAAATATTACTAGACCACTCATTATCCTTGGGATAACTGAGTTTATGGGTCATTCGGATGAGCGTAGTGCTGATTACACTATCCTTTCATATACGGACGTCACAACAACAGGTGAACTCTACTTCACCTGTCAAGTGCCCCACCAAGTTCGAAAGGCAACTTTATTATACATACCTAAAAAGAAGTCACACTTCATCTTTTAAGTTTTTGTCAATTAAAAGCATTGATTTCTTTCTGAAATATTTACTGAGCTTGAACCTCATATGAATAGCAAATGAATAAATTATTGAATAAGAAAATAATGAATTAGAATCATTCGCGTGAGTTGTGATTTCCCAATCAGCACTTCTAAAGTGGGAAAATTAAAAACAAAATATTATGAACTCTGAGTTGATTTGTTTCGCACTCAAGCCGCTTTGATGGGTAACGAATACACTCAAGCTACTTTGATAGGTGACTAACACACTCAATCCATTTTGATGGGAAAGTACACAATACTAATGGCGTCATTGATTGTAGAATTAAAAAAAAATTCATAAAAAACGTTTTAATAACAAGCTTTTATGTAATGATGCACTAAAAAGTAGAAAATAAATTATAGACTACTATTTAAATAACTATAAAGAAAAGCGTGGGTCACTTTAGTATCTATTGGATACCTTTACTAATGTTAAGGAAGACACCCACGCTTTTCTTTATAGTTATTTAAATAGTAGTCTATAATTTATTTTCTACTTTTTAGTGCATCATTACATAAAAGCTTGTTATTAAAACGTTTTTTATGAATTTTTTTTCAGTACTTTACATGTTTTATTTACAATAGAGTTAAATGACTAAAAACCTTTGCGCACCTACTGATCATCACGTTCAGTAGGCGCGCAATGGTTTTTGAACGCAGCCATTACGTGATGGCACAGCTATTGAATGAAGGTGATGACGCGTGTGGTGTGGTTGGCTAGACATGCCTACTAATTCGGTCCAAATTTTAATTAATCCATAAAAAATTAATTAGGCATCCAATTAAGTCAAATTTAGTTTCAGATTGCATTGTCTTCATGTCTTGACCCACGTGCCAACTGTGAATCGTGTCGGTCAAGTAGAAGTTTCCGAATTTTCACTCCTGCGTTTCCGTCTAGACTGACGACAGACCGACGACAGAGGAAGTGAGTTAAATAAAAGCTTGTAATAAAAGCTTGTAAAAAATAGAATGTCAAAGACGATACACAATACTAATAACTTTGTCTTTAATGAGATTCGCTTCCCACCTCTTCCAGTTTTAGATCTATAGATCTACTTATAACGACGTACGCAGTGAAATGTATGCAATTGTATCAGGAAAAGTAATAAAAAGAAAAATTAGTTTAAAAAAACAACAAGAATACCATTGAATAGCCAGGTTTTTAACGGAATCATTTCAGTAACTTAATCAATGTGGACATTTAATATGGTGCTGTGTTGGCTAATAATGTATATAATGTGGTATATCTAATAGGTATGTTATTTTGTCGGATCTTTAGCTGTTTAGTTATTTCTTTGCTTTGTCACTAATATCGTTCAACGTGTGGTCAAGCACATTGCGTTTCGACCAATAACTATTCTATAAAATATTTTTCTCAAACAAGTATAACACTAAAATATATAGGCCTTTAATTCACGTGAAACAGATACCGACGGCTAGTTTATATTGCGCAATCAGTGAATGGCAAACGATATCTGTATAATAGTAGTACTTTATAAATCACTAGCCGTCCCGGCCAGGCCCTGAACTGGCTCCTGCGAAAAAACTATCTGTAAAGGACCATGACTTGTGTGTTTATTAGGAAATATATTACTTTTGCAATAAACCCCAATCGAAACCAACTAAAACAAAAACGCAAACACAAAAACAAACTCAGACGTAAACACAACAAAAACAAAAACCCCCCAAAAAAACGTAAAAACAAGAGTAAACTCAATCACAAGCACAACAACATAAGCGAACGCAAACAAAAATGCATCATAAACGCAAACATGACCGCAAACACAAAAAAAATACAAACGTAAATACAAGCAAAAATGCTAATAATATCTCAATTACAAAAGCAAACTCAAACACAAACGCAAACACGAACACAAAAAAAATACAAACACAACGCAAACCCAAACGCAAAAAAACACAAACCTAAGCGGAAAACAATAGCGCAGAACATAAACACAAACTTGAATGCGAACATAAAAGCATAATGCGAACATAAAAACCCGTGGCGCCTAATCGCACCCTGTCGGGCAGCCGACGGAACTACCTGATTCAACATTGTAAATGAGTAAAATATTCGATCTTATGTATAGTATGTTGCACTGTTTAAAACAAACGTAGTTGCCGTAGCACTCACGGAAAAGCACAGGGTGCCAAATGGCACCCTGTGCGGGCACCCTGTTGGGGTGCCTGGGACGCCGGATTCAATCTAGTTAAGGACTATAGTAACTCTTCTTATCCATAGTCTATCGCACTTTCTTAAACGAACGTTTGCACCGTAGTGCTCACAGGATAGCCCAGGGCTCCAAATCGAATCCTTGTGCTTCATAAAATTTAGTAAACGACTATGATACCCCCAGCATGTCCGCAAAGCGACGGATAGAACTAAACATGGCGGATATTTAGGAGCGGCTTCTAAACTGTTATTGATTAAAAACAATTATTAGTAAACAGTACGTTAAGTGTATAAAATAAATAAAAGGCAGTATTTAAAATATCCGTGTTTTAACTACCACATTGCAATATCAATCCACGCTTATTATATGTAAGCCCTGCTAGGGGGGGATACCTTAAAATCTACCCTTCTAGGCTTAACTTACTAATCTGTCCGGTCAGTGCAACCGTGGTAGAACCCACAGTGGTTAAACCTAACCTTAGTCTAAATACAATACTAAAATAAAACAAAAACTTTAACAGTTAACAAAATTTATTCATCAAAAATAACTAATATAAAATTTATTCAACAAAATATGGAACCAAAAGTTATAAAAAAAGAATAGATAACACTTGACACAAAACAGAACCAAACGAAACAAACTTTTTACATCAAACAAAACACCCAATTTCGGACTTCGTCCTAGAAAAAGGAAAACAAATAAATTAATTACTTTACAAAGAAAATTTATAAACAAAGCATTAACCACAGGCTGGCTGGATTACATCTCCACCGCCTGCAGGTAGTTCACACAGAACATACTTTAACAATTAACTGGAACACTACCAGGACACTGAGCTCAAACTACTCGCTCAACACAGTTACCAGCCTAATAAAAGGCTAAGTAAAATAAAATCTATTAAAAACAAGTGTACCTTCACAGTGACTAGAACGAACCGAACACTCTCCTGGGGATCAACATGATCACCACAGGAAGCGAAAGGTCACTATAAAGATAACAATATTATAACCAAACCCGACAGTCCGGAACGAACCGTGACTGTGGGTCAGGTAACAACTCTACTACTTAACCCAACAGCCAGGAGTAAACCATAGCTGCGGGTCAAGTCTAAAAATACCTTTATCCCTGGCTTAACACCAGCCCAAGGGACACAATCAACAAAATGTGCGTATTACTTAACCCGACAGCCAGGAGTAAACCATAGCTGCGGGTCAAGTCTAAAATTACCTCTATCCCTGGCTTAACACCAGCCCAAGGGATACAATCAATAGAATACGTATACCACTTAACCCAACAGCAAGGAGTAAACCATAACTGTGGGCCAAGTATAAATAAGCTCCACACAAGCCCAAGAGATACAACAAAGTAATAAAATAACTATAACACAATAAAAACTCAGAATCTGAGTCCACATGGCCTGACCACAATGGCGGTCAGAAGACAACCACAAAAAAACTTATGGCCAGTAACTAAAATAAACAGCATAGCAAAATAAATAGACATAGCAAAGAAATAAACTTATTTCTAACTTACCAGGACTAAGACGAACACAAACACAAAATAAATACGACTGGATGGTGCGAATTTGCTATTCTTTTCACTGGATGACCAGAGAGACTGCCTGCTCTCTTCACCGCGGCTTTCCACACAAAGGACAGAGTTGAACAAGCCGGAAACCGACTTCCCCACACCTCACACCCTACTCGTAAACAAATAGTCCCTAATTCACGGATAACAAACCAAACACGACGAAACATGCAACAGAATATTATAAAAAGACACTTACTATAAACAATGACAACAATATAAAGGAAATATATATAAACTAGCTATAACCAGGGACATGGACAGTGAGACAGCGGCGCCATAATACGGGACTACACAACTAAAAACGACGAACCATTTACGACATGAAATGAAACGATACATTCGCCTTCTAAGTTACAAATAATAAAAATACACTCCAGCCGCTCACATACACGCCCCTTAAAGCTTGCGGTCACCGCAAGCTAACAAACTTGAAAAAAACAGCCCACAGGGCATAATCATAATGTTACAAAAAAACAAAACTTTGCAGGAAGAACTTGCAAAAAAATCAGCCCACCGGGCACAATCATAAATTTTACAAAAAAACTTTGCCAGAAAATCAGCCCACAGGGCATAATCATATATGTTACAAAAAAACAAAAAAACTTTGCAAAAGAACTTGCAAAAAAATCAGCCCACAGGGCACAATCATAAATTTTACAAAAAAAACATTGTCAAAAAAATCAGCCCACAGGGCACAATCACAAGTCTAGCCTACTAGGGACTCTGCGCTCCCTGACCGACCTACGCAGAGGTATGTCAGGTACTGTGGGGTTACCGGCTGCTCTGGTCCCTGGCAATTGGACCTTATAAATAATGTGGCTGTAGCCTGGAGTAGCCGGCGGTATCACTTTGACCGGCCTTGGGGAGGGTGGTTGA